TATAAACTGGCGAAGATATGAAGACCAGGATGTTGTGGCCTTTTGTATGGTCGCGGTCTACTTTCGTTGTATAGAAGTTATTTGACCTTGTTTTCGCAACTTGGTCAAATTGGAGGAAAGACCTAGAGGAACGCATCTTGTCTGGATTCCACAGTATGCATGATAATTTCCAGATTAAGATCGTGGACTTGATTCATTCTCAGACGTTTCGCCGGCATCGTCAATGGGTACTGCCACTCTCAGCAACCAAACACAACTCGAGTGATAGCACAACCGTTTAGACGAAAAGTTGCTCAGGGGATTGACTTTACTTAACTGACGATGCCGGCGAAACGTCAGGAAATTTACCAAATGCACAGTCCGAATCTAGTAATTATCATGCATACTATGGACTCCGGACAAAGTGAGCTCCTTTAGATCTTCACGCTAATATGACCAAGTTGCGAAAACTAAGTCAAACAATTTCCATGGCGAAAATTATCTGCTTTAAATTAAAGAAAGTGAATGACCGATTATCTGATAAAATGAAGAACTCATACGAATTTTGCCAAAGAATAAAAAGCACCAGTTTGGAGGGAAACGAACTTTTGATGAGCTTTGACGTATAGTCCATTTACACTAATATCTCAGGAGAAAAGTACTCACGGCACTACTGGAGATCTTGGAAAAAGATGGCATCCTGCAAACGGATCGAGTCCATCAAGTCTCTAACCCGACCAATCAATCTAACAATAAGAAGGAACTATTTCAAATTCATCGGCCGCATCTATGAGCAAATATTTGGTCTGCTTATGGCCTCACCACTCTCATCTCTGCTGGCTAGTGTCTACATGAACAATTTGGAGTAGAATTTCAAAACGTCACCTCAGCAGCCAACAGTAGGATGACTACTCTGATCATAGGGGAAATAAAAATTAGATGAATTCCTGATCTTAAACTACATGGATGAAAAAGTCAAGGTTACAATGGATGAGGCAGAGAACAGAAACTTACCTTTCTAGGATGTGGAGGTCATTCGTTAAAAGGAGACTCTAAAAAACGACTTTTCCGAAAGAAATCGCATCCTGGAATAACTCTTAACTTAAAGTATAAACATACTTAAGGAATGAAGATAAGAATACTCCACAACATGGCCATAAGAAGCCTAGGACTTACTGATTGTGAGTTCTGTGAAGATGAACTGGAGAAACTGAGATATCTTTTGGAAACGGACAGCCAGAAGAAACAATACAACGCAGCATAGGGATAGTGATAAGTGAGTATAACGGAGATTATGAAAGAAATGCAATGGAAACTTAGGAAAAACAGTGATTATGTCTATCCTCCTGTGAATTTGCACGGAGGCAGCGGCCGATACTATGAAAATGAAACATTCGTACAATCCTAAATGAAAAGACAACCGTGTTCACCAGCTTGCCCACCCAACATGAAGAAGACAACACAATGGAGTACTCCAGAGTTTACAACATAAATTGCAAGGGCTGTAAACAAAAATACATCGTAGGGACGGATAGGAGAATCAGCACAAGGATAAAAGAACACCAGCGAGTATGCGGAAAAATAGATACGGATAGATCGGAGGTAGCTGAACACTTCGCCCTTATCGGCCACACAATTGACTGGAATGCAACGGAAAAACTGGTCTCATATAGGAAGAACACCAGAAAACGGAAGATCAGGGAAGTGGACATCCTCTTCCAAAGAAATTTGATGACAATAAAAGCCTGTTACTCTCAGAGATTCTCGCAATTACGCTTTTTATAAATTTAATAAAATAAAAAGATAATCTGAGTTCATTCTCGCCACTTGGTCGTATTGTCAGAGACCTTGATCAATGCACCTCGTCAGGAGTCCCCTGCAATATCAGTCAGGATAGTTTCAAACGTCGGACCGCGAAGTTGGTGCATTTCCAGACGTTTCGTTGGCGTCGCCAGTTTTAGGACAAAACCACAACTAGTCAGAGACAAGTAAAGTCCATCCTTTGACCAGCCATCTACTGGTCATTTTGTCCCTGTAGATTCACTTACTCTATAACCTATGTCAAAAATATATTCAGTGTAATATTTCAAGGTCAAGCCCATCTGTCGTATATAAAAGTATTTATTGCGATCCTAGATATTTATTTCAATTTTAACTGTAGCTGTGGATTACTGACGACTAGACCTTGCGTCATGGTATAGCCATCCTTAAGGTTTATAGAATAAGTTTTTACCATATTCTGTTCAATCAACGTAATTATGAAACAAATTCTTATTTGCAGTGTTTAGTGCTACTCTATAGTATTGGCTTGAATTTTAAATACTTAGTCCAATTCAAGTAGATATTTATTATAGAACTTATTTTTATAGATAACTAACTTTCATGTGCATTAGAATAACAGTAAATTTCTCAAAAATAGTGCGAAAAACTGATTTGTTGGAGCTGGTATATCCAAGGCAGAATTAGGCTCAAACTTACCCGTTAAAAAACCTGATAAAATTACATATATATCAGTTTTCGAAAAAATAAATTGAATTTTTTTAAGAAAAGGCTTAAAAATGTAATATAATTAAGTGCAAGTAGACATACTGACAAGTTCGGCCTAGATGCTAAGACCTCAGCAACCAGGTAATGTTCATTATTGGGCAAAAGCTTAATAAAAACAACGGCGGCGCGGCCCAGCTGTACACGTTCCAACAAAGCCCTGTAAGGAGGTGAAACCAAGCTCCTGGGGAGCCCGGTAGGCGTTTGCTTGCCAACAGACGATCCTGAAGCTGTCTGCTGCGCCTGTTCTACAGATGGAGGCAAGAGGATAGGCAGTTGTCGGCGTACGGGTTGCCAAACGGCTCGATGCTTAGTTGCAGAATTCACCAGCCGACAAAGTCCTAGTTGCACACGAAGGCGGTCCAGTGCCGCCTGGATTGTAGCCCGCCAACGTGTTTCTTCACCGGAAAGTGCTCGAAAGGCACGTGCTTGAGCGGGAGATACATTTGATGTAAGTTGTCCGGACCCAAGTCCGACTCCGGAGGATAGACTGACAGAAGTGGCTTCGATGCGCCGAGTGGAGGGTCTATTAAAAGCGAACTCTAGGGTGGCGAGTGTTGATTGTATGTCACCCACTATCTGCGGAAAATCAGCTGCTGGCAACCCTGTTGCGCTTGAAGTGTTTCCTCCACTGCTGCTAGTGGTGGGAGCGCCGCTGCTGGATCCGAAGATGAGGTCGAGACCACCACTAGCGGCAGCTGCAGATGATACAGATATACCGAGAATCACGTGGATCCGACCCTCTCCAGGGTCGATGCGAATGTGGACCAGTTCGTCAGCATGGCAGGGCCACAGAATTGGGGCATAAAGGCAGAGTGCAGCATCGGCTAGGCGCACTGGGCCAGGGCAAATTGGTGCCAACTCGCGCTGCAACTCCTGTTGGCAAATAGCGAAAACGAAGAAAAAGTAGATAATGAAAGGGATCCAGGCGAAAGAAGTCAAGAATGAGCCTCTCTAATGTTTCGTGAATAATATCATTGCGTTAATAAGGCATGAGAAATGTAGTTAAAATTTGGCAACAACCCATAAATTTGGATAGCTATTAGGAAATTTCGCAAAAAGACTCTTTACTCTAGACGAAGCATGACTTAATCATTCCAAAGAGAAGAGTTTTATACAATAGAGGAGAATAAACGTATTATGTGATCCGTCAATAACATAGTAGAACTGTAAGTACAATTTGGTTTTGAG